TAAGGATTAGGTGTGTGTCATATGTGTTATTATATTGTGGAATTATTTTAGGTGACATGTGGATGGTGCATATTGATTGGGATTTTTCTACTAGGGTGTGCGCATATATGAAATTGAGTTAGAACAAAACATTCGAATGAAATTAAAATTACCCCGCATTTACTTTCAAATAAGAAATTACCGTAAATTTACATGTAAATACAAAGGTCAATTTCACATTATTCTTCTTTGTAATGTTTTATATGCCATTTGTTTGATCCAAAAATAATGCCTTCCAGAATCCAAACTATTATATTGAATTGACATATCAAATTAGTTGTACCATTTAATAATTAAAGAGCGGTAACTAGGCTTCAAGTATCCGATAAAGAACCAATATATCCCCCCCCCCCACAAAAAAAAGACGAATGGAAGATAGTCACATAAATGAATAAAATAGAAAATTAAGGATAAATCCCTCATGAAAAATTTAATTGACAAATGAGCTTAGAACCGTAAATTGCACATAATATTATTTAGACATAAAGAACTAATTTGCACGTAGACAAGCATATAAATATGTTTAGTTGTACAAAGAAAAATTGAGTTAAGCATTACACAAGAAAAGATAATGATTCCATGCTAGGGAAAATGAATTACATATAAAAAAAAAAAAGTTAAGTTATAAACAATGAAAGTTGAGTTGCACAAAATCAGTAAGAAATATTTGCCCATTAATTTCTCAATAAAAGATTTGTTTCTACTTTTTCCCAAATAAAATCACTTTGTGAGCAATAACGTACGTAATCACGACTTAATTATTAACGTATCTTCTTCTCCAACCCGTTTGACCCCATTGGCCTGTTTTCTTCTCCTTTTCTGTTTCTCTAATTAAAAACTACGTTTTGATCCTAGCAGCTTGCATTTTATTTGCAGAACATAGGCCTTCGTCGCACATCATATACAAGAAATTTGAGAGGGCTTTGTCCTATTTGATATATTAATACTTTATATATTATCACATCAAAACAAAAACTATACAATTTCGACTTCAATTTGAATATTGGGTTACATATTGAGACAGGTACTTGATTTTTCCATGAAGAGTAACCCTAAAACCTTTGATATAATTAAATATAAAAGATGTACGCTTTCTTCGTGGAAGCAGTTTAAATTTTCAAAGGCCGTTTTATTTTTAATCTCAAGTGGCTTAGTGGAAGAAACATCATATTATCATCATAAAATGTGGAAAACAACCTAAAAACTGAAAGTGATGCGCATGCATGCAAATATGTATTAATTACTCTCCCGGTCCTAAATATAAGACCTTTATACATACTAATGTATAATGTATAAGGGTTTTACATTTAGGATCGGAGGAGTATTAAATTTGTTTATATAATACTACCTCTGATCATTAATATAAGATTTTATTTGACTTTTGTTTTGATCCTAAATATAAGACCCTAATCTATTTTGTCTATAATATTTATATATTTTTTTCTAAGGTGGTCCTTATAATAATAGTAGTTCTAACCAATACATTTGATTAGCAAGGATATTTTAGAAAAGACAACACTTATTTATTACAAATAACTAACTTAACTTATCTTTTTAATCTCCACAAATTAGTTAACTAACTCTTATAATCAGGATCGGAGCTAGTAATTGATTGATATGAATACGACAGAGAGGGATTAGTCTTGATAAGGACCAAAACGTAAACAGGATTATTGCGGGGCACGGACCTACCTTAATAGAAAAATGGAGACTTAATTATTATGTTGTGCCCTTCTTTAATCGTTTTCATGGATACTTTCAACATTGGCTCCGTTTGGATCAGCGATTGGAAAAGCTGCTTATTGAAAAGGTAGTTTATGGATAAGTGAAGTTGGGTAAAAGCTAAATTGGATAAGCTGAATTGTGTTTCGATTGGAATTCAGAAAAACTAGTTTGCAAAAGTGAGATTGGTAAAAGGTTGTTTGGATTATAGTTGAATAAAAGTAAGTTTAGTTATAAAATGACCAAAATAGATATGAGTTATAATAAATAATAAAAAAAGATAACAAAAATGATTTCACATAATACAATGAAATTAAAATAATTTAATATGAAGAAGTCAAATTTAATAAGTGAATTAAATTTTAAAATCTTAGAGAAATCATAAAAAATATTTTAAATATAAAGTGAAAGATGAAAAAAGAAATGAATTGAGATAATATAATGAAGAAGTGAAATTTATAGAGTGAGTGAAAGTTGAAAACTTTAGAGAAATTATAAGAAATATTTAAAATATAAAGTGAAACATCATAAAAAAATATATTGACATAATATAATAAATTTAAATTAATTTAATATGAAGAAGTGAAATTGATTGAGTGAATTAAATTTAAAAACATTATAGAAATGAAAAAATGGAGCTTTATATAATAAAGTGACAGTAGAGGACTAGCCTCTTTTATAGAGGCGGGTTTAAACAAAAAATGGAGCTTTTGATAGAATTATTTTACTCCTCCGTCAAATGGAGCATGCCACTTTGAATTCAATTCTTCACGCGTTTTTTACTCCTCTGTCATGCCACATGTAAAATAAGCTCTTAAAGTGATCCATAAACCAGAAAATGGAGCTTGAGCGCAACGTACGTTTTCCCAGCTTAAAATACATAAGCTCCTTTTTTATTTAAGTCCAACCAAACACTTCAAATTTTCCAATCGGGCTTGTAGGGCTTATAAGCCCAAAATAATTGATGCCAAACAGGCACATTATTGACTTGAGATTAATTGATTCGGCAGGCGCCCACTCGTGATGATGGTTTTCATCAGTTGATTGGGTCATTCTCACGCTGTTGGATTTTCAATAGTAAGCCCATGTCTCATTAAATGGGCCCACGCCCGTTGTTTTGAAGGACTCCAATGTGACCTAAGATCGCTGACATATTTTCCATATAGTCTCGGCCCAAGATGATTCTTTGTCTTTTATTCCCAGGCCCATTGGGACCTATTTTTCTCTCTAACATTTTCTTTTTGTAACACTCCAATTTTTTGAACACTTATTTTATTGTTTTTAAATTATTAAATTCTACACAAAACGAGGAACATCTTAAAATCTTACAGTGATGAAATTGTACGGTTTTGAACCTTTTATAATCAAAACTACACTATCTTAATGTATTTTTCTATAAAAAATCATTAATAAATCAAAATCACATCATTTCTAATAATGAAAATAAATATTTGAGAGATTAGAATATTATAAAGAGCGTTAGAGGAAGGAGGCCCCACCCTCTATTAATCTAATAAAAATTATAAAATATTAAATCTTAATATAAAATTTAGTTTGTAGATCAATTTGAATCATAAGCTGAACTTTATATTAAAGAGCAGAAGTAATATATTATATAAATAAATTTTAACTATAATAAGTTTGAAACAAGTCATCAATCAATAATACATGCAGTGTCCCTTAAATAATATTGAGGTGAAAATTTGAGAATAAAGATTCACATACAAATTAATAACTTCGGGTGATGGGAAATTCAACGTGTCAAACAAAATTTCCAGGTGCAGCCATGTGGACGAAATTCATGTAGTGAGGAAGTTTCCTGCATTTTGACTAGCTAGTGAGTGATTTTCAAGTCAAGCAACTCCCCCAACATCATTCGGCTTTGACCACATTAACGTAACAGTCCATTTCTTGAATAACGTAGATAAGCGTTTACTTTGGCCCCTCCTGTGCAGGTTAATGCAAATAATTAATATAACTAATATTTTTAATCTATTAAAATTAATTAATTATTTTTTATATTAAAAATCAGAATTAATAATTCGTTTGAGTGCAGAGGATATCTCCTTAATAAAGTTGCTCCCAATTATATAAAACAAAAAAAAAATCCCAGTTAACCGCTCCATGTATTTCGAGCTATTTGTAATTTTATTTATTAATTTTTGTTGTATGTAATGTATGAGTGAATTCTATTTTAGCTTAATTCCAATGATGTATTTTCTTCCAATTTTTAATTTGATGTTATCTGTTTTTTAATTAAATTTTTAATTTTTGTTCTGTTAGCATCATTGCCACTTGTGTTGGTGATGTTAATAAAGTAAAATTATAAGAACTAATGGTGCTAATAATGTAAAATTAAATGCTATAATTAAAAAAAACAAATAAGCACCAAATTAAAAATTAAAAGTACTTCAAAATGGTTTCCCCTTCATAAAAAGATAAGAAAAAGTAACAAATGATTAAATTTAATATTTAAAAGAAGGCGAGGTCATCTCGAAACTAATCACAATCCAACATGAAAACATGCATTTCTGCTGCTCACAGCTTTTGGATAATCCGCGTTCTCCTGCTCTTCATTCCGCGTTATCTTTTCTCCTCCTCCAATCTCAATCGTTGACCGACTTCGAATCCAAATCACACCGTGGGCTACACTGAAATTGAGTTTACATCATTACGTACCTGATTAGAGCTCGAGAAATTTTGGCATCTTTCGTGTCTTTAAAATTTTTTTCTCCTACATGTCATGGCCACCTCTGCGCAAATCTGAGAAAGAAATGAAAGAGGCGGCACGAAGCCCAATATTTTCATAAGAAAACAGCGACAGAGCTGAGAATATAAGACGACACAAGCTTCTCCAAAATCTTCACCCTCTTTCCTTCTTCACTCGCACGCACCAGTAACTACGTATACGAAAAAGAAAAAAGAAAAAAGAAAAAAGAAAAGGAAAATCCCAGTCCTATAAGACCCACGAGAAGAAACAAGTCCGTATGATGATTTTTACGATACATCCAGGGGAAAAAATCGAAACTTTAACTCCCTCCTCCATCCCCCAACTTCACTACATCAACCTTCGAAGTTTGAGCTCGAACTCCAACATTCCCAACTTGCATAGAGATACACAAGCTTGTTGATTTTAGAGAGGGACAGACAAAGAGATACAGATATAGAGAGAGAAAGAGAGATTTGGGGGTTAGGTTGTGTAAGCGCGTGGTGATTGTTTTTCTTGAGAAAGGGTAAATATGAGCGATTGGATGGGGTTTTCTCTGACTCCACACTTGAGGATTGATGAAGTATATGGGAATGGTAGAGAAAACCAAGCAGAACACCGTGGAGGCTATCCTCCTTCTCATCCTCGCTTGTCGGTTATGCCTTTGAGATCAGATGGCTCTCTCTGTGTTGCTGACCCTTTTAGGCACTCTGGTGCAGCTGAAGGTACTAGTGCATGTCACTGTTCATATTTCAATATCTTCCTGTTATTTTATTCATCCTCTTTTGGTATTTGTCTTGTGTTTGAATGTTCAAGAAGTTGTCTCTCTTTATGAATAGGATGTGTTTGATCTTTGGCCTCTGTTTGCATGTTAGCCAAAGCAGCACTTTCGCTCTATTTCCTTTGGTTACTTTGTTACTTAGCAATGAAATCAGTTCCTTTGCTGCATGCTTTCTAAAGATACAATCAATTTCTCATCTGGCTTTTTTGGCTGCTCTGTAGAGTGGAGGTATGATAATGGAGTAGTAGGAGGAACCTCCAATGAAAAAGGTCCAAAGCTTGAAGATTTCTTGGGTTGTTACTCGAACACGTCTGATATTGCTGAAACCAAAGTGTATTGCCAAGGCAGTACACAACAAGAAGATCAAGACCGAGAGCATAACCAGAGCCAGAACCAGGACATTTCTAGCAGGATCAATGTGAATGTGGCCCCAAGCTTCAGCACCAACACTGAGATGGAAACTAATGGGGAAAATTTCGCAAACCCTCCTTCCTTAATCCAATCTTTTCATGCATACAATGATGGTAACCCGCGAGCTGTAATCCCAAGTAACGGCATGTACAAGTCCTGGTTGGCTCAATCTCAATCTTCTGCTGAAGTAAATGGTTATAACTACCAATCTCTAGCCCTAACTATGAGTCCTAGTGTACCAAACACTCTTTGTGGTGCAGTTTCACCGGTTCAAGTGGAAGATGATGCTCGTAAAAGGCCAATCACAAAATCTCTTGCTGCTAGAGAACCCGTGCCTCGCAAATCTATTGATACCTTTGGTCAAAGAACATCTCAATATCGAGGTGTTACAAGGTAAGGATAGTGATTCTTCTAGTTAACGAATTATATCGTTCCTTCGGCTTTTCATTATTCCTTTTATGTTTTCCATATCGGGGTATTAGGCATAGATGGACTGGGAGATATGAGGCCCATTTGTGGGATAATAGTTGCAGGAAGGAAGGGCAAACAAGGAAAGGAAGGCAAGGTGAGAGAAAAACTACGTCCTCTTTTTTCACATCATGGTTTAGTAAGAACCAAACACGCCGTTAAACCTTGTGGTAGATGATCATCATTGTTTTTCTTTTTAGCCCTTTCTCTTGATTTGATGAGAATATATGTACTAACGGTTTGTTTGACGCACTGGTTGGATTCTTCTCCTTTCAACGCTTCAACTCTCTCTGCACAGTTTACCTCGGTAGGTGAAAATCCACTATACATTTGCATGTCTCTTTCTGTAGTTCTTTTACCATCCTCTCTGGTCTTTACTGTTTTCCCATGACAACAATTGATCTGGTGCATAATTTATATTTTTTTGAAAAAAGCATGAAAAGGTGTGCTCTTGTGCATGATTCTGAGAGAAAATATGTAATTCATCCCTTTTGGAAAATAATAATTTGTATTATTGTTACTAGGTGGTTATGATAAAGAAGAAAAAGCAGCAAGGGCTTATGACTTAGCTGCGCTCAAGTATTGGGGCCCAACCACTCACATAAATTTCCCTGTATGCTTTCTCAGACTTGCACTGTTCCTTCCATCGAAAAGTCTTGTCTATGTTCGCTGTTTTGTTTTTAGCTTTCGACTATTGAACTATTTCATGGTTCTACCATCGGCTATAGCCCACACTTCATCTAAAAATTCTTAAATGCTTTATCAGTTAAGCAGTTATGAGAAGGAACTTGAAGAGATGAAGCACATGACGAGGCAAGAATTTGTGGCCAATTTGAGGAGGTACCCACTCGAATCTTTTCTCGTGATCTTATTAGATACGGTTTAGATAGCGATCCTTCAGCAATAAGTGGGTAGTTTTTGTACAATTCAGTAGCAGACTCTGCGATAATTTTACTGCAAAATTTTAATATAGCAAACATGCAATGAATTTTATCTGAGCATTGTCGATTGACTTTTCATTCCTCAATTAATTTTCATCCCCTATATTCAATATGGAACAAAACGATGTGTCCTTTTTTGTTCTTTGGGGAGCAGGAAGAGCAGTGGATTTTCAAGAGGTGCTTCTGTGTATAGGGGCGTGACAAGGTATGGCCAAAAGTTCTGAGCTTTTATACTTTATCATTAATAATATTGATAAAAAGTTTTCCATTATTTACTGCAATTCCAGCTTTTGAATTAACTTGGCGGCCATTATTGGCAAAACATTGATCTGCTTCCCTTGTCTCTCTTCAGACACCATCAACATGGAAGGTGGCAAGCTAGGATCGGTAGAGTTGCAGGAAACAAAGACTTGTATCTCGGTACATTTAGTAAGTTTCACCAACCTCCCTCACCATAACCTTTCGTATATTTTCCTTTTAATTAACCTTATCTTAAACACCTGTTCCTCGTTATTTACTCGTAAGCTGCTTGTGTTAATCACTATATTTGCCTGCAGGCACACAAGAGGAAGCCGCAGAAGCATATGATATTGCTGCAATTAAGTTCAGGGGAACTAGTGCTGTGACCAACTTCGATATAAGCAGGTATGACGTGAAGAGAATATGCTCCAGCTCGACCCTCATTGCAGGAGATCTGGCAAAGAAGTCTCCGAAAGACTCAGCTCCGGGCAGTGTGGCCACCACAACGGACGACTTCAATTCTAATGCATCAACGTCATTAGCGACGGCGGCTCATCGGCAGCAGCCACAGCCCTTTTTGGCTGTAACAAATGGTGAGCACTCTTCTGATGAGTTAGCCAGCATGGTTTGGAATGATGACGGGAACCCCAACGAGAAACAGGTCAATGATCACAGTATTTCCGAGAACGGCACGAATAATAATGCTAAGAACGCGTCAAACTCGGAAGAAAGTCCCAAGTGTTCTGTGGGAATGGGAAATGAGTTTGGGGTGAATGGTTCGGAGTTTGGACCCGGGTTCTTCTCGTTGCAGGGACCAAAGTATGGTGATGATGATGATGGAAACAACGACAACGGTGATGATAACTCGAATAATGACATTCGCATTGGGAACATGGGTCTGGCTCATCAAGTTCCTATGTTTGCTTTGTGGAATGAATGAACAAACGAGATCGAGGTCTTCAAGATTCGAGGCTGAGTGGATAGGGTAAGCTAGTGGGAAATTTGTAGTTGTTTTCAGCTTAGGAAAAAGGAAAAAGGCAAAGAAGAAGACGTGATCATGTAAGGAAATTTTGAATCCTACTGTGTTTATTTAGTGGGATTCGCTAAGTGAAATGCCGAGTTATAATTCTGGATTACATGACTAAGCAATAGTGTTATTTTTCTCCTGCGTGCTCTGCGAATCTTGTTCGGATTTTACTGTTACGATAGATAATAGGGGGGGGGGGGAACGTCTTTGATCAAGGCATTAATTTATAGCCGATAATACAATCGACGCCAGTAGAAGCTACAACGTACGATATAAAGTAGCCGCAGGAAAGCCCCGCTGCCCCCTATATAAGTTTCTATAGAATAATGCTTATCCGTACATGATGTTGTCCTCTTGTTTGCCACTAGCTGAGAGGTGATTTTTTACGTTTAAAATGTGTACATTATATTTCTGTGTTAGAGAGGTGTTTTTGTAACTAAACTTTTTTAGATGTTTATTTCATATATTGTAAAAGATATAATTTTAATATCATCCAAACACGCTCTACATGTGAAATATTAACAAGCATGCAAGTCTAAAGTATATTCCAGTCTTAATGTTTTTTCTAATTTTTTGTTAATGTAAAAGTTTCATAATACTACTTTCAGTTTTTAATATAAGACTTTATTTGATTTTTATTTTAATTTTAAATATAAAATTCTAATTCATTTTCTCTTTCATATTTATTTTTTTTAAAGATGGTTTTTTTAATAATGGTAGTTCTAACTAGTAAATTTTATTAGTAAGGAATTAAGGATATTTTAAAAAATAATATCTATTTATTACAAATAATTAACTTAATTTATTTTTTTAATCTACTTAAATTAATTAACTAATTTTTATATTTGGGATCCGAGAAAATGTAAACGTAATCTAAAATTGCAATCAATCTAGTTATTTCGTGTGTTTGTCTGTCTGCTTGTCTGCATGCGTTCAACGCCTTGCGAAGACGCAGAAGGCGGTGTTGACCGCGGATATTTGGATGTCCGGGTTTAATATCTGGAGCGTGGGAATATTGAGTATGGGTCAACTTATTTAAGCCTGACTTGGGGAGAGAAATCTAAATTTCGGTTGAATATGAGGTTAAAAAAATTATAAATCTATTATTTTAAAAGTGTTTTTTGTTAAAACATACTGCTTCCGATCTTTAATATAAAATCCTATTTGATTTTTATGTTGGTCCTAAATATAAAACCCCAATCTATTTTGTCTCTCATATTTACTCAATTTTTTTAAAATAGTCCTTCTAATAATTATAGTTTTAGCCAACATACTTAATTAGTAAGGATATTTTATGAAAAACAACACTTATTTATTACAAATAACTAATTTAACTTCTTTTCTCAAATTAATCAACTAGCTCTTATAATTAGGAACGGAGGTAGTAGTATGTACTATCCACTCCATTTATATATATATATATAGATATATCCCTACAGGTTGGTTATAGTGTGACAGCATTAATTATGAAGCAATATTTTTGTTTGTTTTTCATTTGTAAAAATAAAATTGAAAAAATTATGAAATCCCTGCAATTCACTGCGTACGATCCGATGACATGCCTCCAGAATGGTGAGACTCACCGGGAAGAAACAAGAACCCTCTCAACGCAGCGTTTTAAGTTATTCCAATTCCAAAGTTGAGAGCGGGGAGCTCGAGGCAGTGACGGGACACAATAATGCGCACTTGCGCAGAGTCAGAGAGAGGCGTTTAGATTAGAAAGACCAATCGACATGGTGCGTTTGATTTGGGGTGTGGGAATGGACGGGCCAGATGGCGGTGAAGTAGGGAACGGAATTGAACAAAAAGTCAAAACGTACTGTTCTGTAATAAAAAAAAAATATCGGAGGAGGCAGGAGGCGAGGATGGTAACTACGGTATGGCAGGGGAGCAGGGAATCACCGGGGGTAGCCATCTTTTGACTGCGAATGGGATGGAACGGAATGATACGTTGTTAGGATAGCATTATTATAAATAATAATAATAATAATAATAATAAAATGAAATTAAGAAGGAGTTATTTGTTGTGGGGGTAAAGTTGGGATTGACCCACGTAGGAAGCAGGCAGGAGGGGAGGGGGAAAGATCTGAAAGAATCCAAGCAAGTTCAGAGCCTGCGGTGAAGAGATGCCTTAAATTGCGTGCCCCCGCCAACCTCTCTCCAATCCGTATATATATACACACACACACAAACACTCCATTTTTTTAAATTTAAGGGGGGAAAAAGCAAAAAATCATGAGAATATTTCCAAAGTTACATAAACTTGTTGTAAAGAAATAGAAGGTCACAAAAATGGAAATCTGTCTAACTAATTTAAGTGTAAATTAGTTTGGGGTGATTTGGGAGGAAAAAGAAGAAAAATAGGAGGAATATAAGAGGAGGGAGAGGGAGAGGGAGAGGGAGAGGAGGGAAGGGTAGCAGGATGGATGAGGTGAGAGGCAGGCACCTAGTCCTCTGCCGCGCCTACATGCATAGCTCTATGCAGTTGCAGAACCCATTCCCCATCTTCTCTCTGCATCGCGTCTGCATGCCCCTTTCATTCTTCTCTCTCTCTCTCTCCCCTCTCTGGGGCACGCAGTCTACTCTATCCCCCCCCAACAAAAAAAAAATTCTTTTCCTGCCATAACCTTTTTCTTTTGTGTTTATGTACCCTTTGACTTTTTCCCCCTTACTCTTCCCTTCTTCATCGCCTCCCTACCAAATCCATTCCTAACATTCGCATTTATCTTCTACACAATCAATTTGAGAATAATAACGAAACCTCTTAGTCAACAATATATCTAAGGACTGAGTTATTGACAGAGTATAATAGCGTCGTGTGATTCATATAGTTAACCCCATTTACTGGGACAAGGCTTGTTGTTGTTGTAATCAATTTGAGAATAATCCAAATTGAATCCTTTTGATTTATATGCTTTTTTTAATTAAAAAAGACAGGGGGTTCTGCTGGGGAAAAGCAAGGGAGGAGGATCCATATGCTTCAAGAATGGAAAGGAGAAGCTCATCCTCGCGCTTCCTGCTGATGTCTCTCTTTCTCTGTTTTTCCCCTTTTTATTTATTTACTATTATTATTCTTTCTATCCTAAATATAAGACTCTTTTACACACTAATATAAGTATAAGGGTCTTATATGGGTATTATTTTATAGATTTCCTTGAATTTGGGTAAATTCGCATTGTGGTGCAGGGGCGTCTCTGAAATTCCGACATATCACTTTTGGGCTCTCGCTGTAAATTCCAGAAACTAAAGAGGTGTTTGGGCAAGATCAAACCATGATTTCAAAAATATTTTTATGGTATACGAAATAAATATATAGAAAATTTTATTTTAATTTACGAAAAAGTGTTTCTGAAAAGTGTTTATTAGGTTACCCAAATACCCCCTAAACATTTCTTCCTGCGTTGCATACGACTTACTATGTGATACTCATTACAGTAATTACTACATGTATTTTTCTAATGGATGCTCCAACAGCGTGCACAAGAAATTGGCACGTAAATCCCACATATGTACACGGGAGAGTGTTTGGATAGAAACCAAACTATGGTTTCAAAAGTATTTTTACGGATTACGAAGTAAATATGTAAAGGAGATTATCTCGTTTTACGAAAAAGTGATTATGAAACTTTGGTTTTGATTTTGCCAGACACCACGAAAAGAAAGACAAACAAACAAAACACATGCAGAGAAAAAAATCAAAACAACAAAAATTATATATAACAGTGTTTCTATAAAAACATGCACAATTTCATATGCTCCCCGCCCTCCCAAGTACAGTACTCCGGGTCTATTTAAAGATTTTGATACAGCCCTAAATATAAGGTCTTTCTTCTTTTGCGTCACCTATTAAAATTTTATCTTGACCATAGTACCATTATTTAGTGAATACTTTTATCTTTGTGCATTAAACTTCAACGTGGACATTTTTTTAATAAAAAATGTTCCAAATTTTTTATATATTAATTATAAAAAATTATTTCCTTTAAAAAACTTTGCAAATTGTGTATTTAATAGTACCCCTACCAAGTCCATGAGCCGTATACATTTCACATTGATTGATGTTAATGGCAGGGAGGGGTCGTTTTCAGGCATGCAGTTGGGGGGAAGGGTGAAAGGCAGGTAAAGGACAGAGACAGAGACGGCACACAGAAAGAGGACAAGGAGATACATGCATGTTTCAGTTTCATGCAATTTGCAAATGCCTTCTTATTTGCCCGTCAATTTGCTGCTTACTTTTACACTTACGGGTGTTTGGATGATTAAAAAAATCCTTTTAAAACCGATACAATTTTTTAATATATTCATTTCATATATCATAAAAATATTTTAAAATCATAATTTTATTTTTACTTAAACATTTTTAATCTTTAATTAATATTACTTTTAGTTCTAATTATAAAATCTAATCCATTCATAATCTATAAAACAAATTTTTGTACTTAAAATAGGAGGCAGTAGTAATTAATAGTAATACAGTAGTTGGGAGAAAAAGGACAAAATGACGGTTTTTTAAATGCAAATTCTTGAGATGAGGTGATGGGAAAGAAAGACAATACTGGGAGGTTATTGATTGACAAGTCACTGAGGGGTTGAGCAAACCCACTACTTCCAAACATCCCTTTTGCTCCTTTCCTTCCTTCGCCTTCATTTTCCTGGGCCACTATGTTCATGAATAAATAATATCTATAGTTTTTTTTTACCCATCTAATTTACCGTAATTTTATTCTGACTATATCTAAATCCAACTCACGTCGTATACTTAACTGTGATGGGTGAATCTCTTAACGGAGATTTCTACATACGTTAAGGTTTGAATTCGAGACCTCACTTAAATAGTACCAAACCGTTTACCACTTGGATCAACTCCTATTGGTAATAATATCTATAGTTAGTTAACTGCAATATGCGTCAGT